TATCGAGGTATGTGCATTATTGAAGGAATGAAATGGGTCGACAAAATATCATATTCAACTCGATGGTCCAACCAAAATTTTATCATAAGGTGATAAAATGCTTTTGTTGTCATCTTTTGTGTCGAGTCGTTATCAGACATCGAGTTCACCCAGTTGTCATTTTAGGTATGTACAATTTAACTGATACATACTATCCCGAATATTGATTAATAGACAATACATTAATCACTATCGTGAAGGTTGATAGTTCATTCTCCGCCTCACAATAATTAAATTAATAAAAAAAATGAACAATTTGTGATAATTTGAAAGAGTGATCGATAATAAACCGATAAAATAGTAGACGTAGCTAGCTGAGTTAGCATTTAAGGATGTTCTTTTAGGTTACATTACAAGTTTAGTGGTGGACTGTGAGATCCCCAGTTGGAGAAGGGAACCAAACATTTTTTTCTAAGAGTGTAAAAAACTCTTCCTAATAGACACGTTTTAAAAATCATGAGGCTAACGACGAAACATAACGGGTTATAGAGAACAATACCTTCTAGCAGTGAGTTTGAACTGTTATAATTAGTATCAGAGCTAGACATTGAGCAATGTGGTAGCGAGGACGCTAGGTCCCCAAGGAGGTGAATTGTGAGATCTCACGTGCATTCTTTTGTTTTGTTTTTTTTTTTTTTTTTTTTTGTGTGTGGAATCGTGAGAATTTGAATGAGTGATCGATAATAAACAGATAAAATACTGAAGGTAGCTAGCTGAGTTAGCGTTTAAGGATGTTTTTTTATGGTACATTACAAGTTTAGTGGTGGACTGTGAGATCCGAGTTGGAGAAGGGAACGAAACGTTATTTTAAGAGTGTTGAAACATTTCCTTAATAGATACGTTTTAAAAATCACGAGACTAACGACGATATATAACGGGTCATAAAAGGACAATACCTTCTAGCAGTTGGTTTGAACTGTTATAAATAGTATTAGAGCCAGAAACTAAGCAGTGTGTTAGTGAGGACGCTAGGTCTACAAGGAGGTGAATTGTGAGATCTTATATTGGTTAGCTTTCCTTAATAAAAATATTCCTATTAAAATAATCATATTTTTTTAATTAAAATATTTTTTAGTTCAACAAATATGAATTAAAAAATTAAATTATATATTAAAAAATTAAAAAATATATATATATAGAAAAGAAGTTGCACAAAAGTTTCATACCACTAGAAGTTACGCAATGATTCTTTAATAATTTATAATTACATGCAAAAGTAAAAAATGGAAAAAAAGAAAAAAGAAAAAAAAAAAAGAATTCTCGAGACTTTCACAAGGACGTGGAATTGGGTGAAATCAAGGACGGTAGGGTTCAGTAGCACACGTCGCTCTCCCAGATCTGACGGTAGGCAGGGACTACATGAAGAGAATCGAGGCAATGTGATTGCGCCACGTGTAAAGATCGTGGGCCCCAGAACGAAAATATAATGATGGTTAAATAATTTGACATTCTCTTCTACGAATGAATGTTATTGACTGACGTGGGTGTGGCTGGTAAAAAGGTAATTCTGAAAGCTGTAAAAATAAATAAACAAATAAATAAATAAATAAATAATTGTGCATGCTATACGGAAGATGACGCTGCTTCTGCCGCCTGTACGACGTCGCTTTGGTGGGTGTGTAAAATTTGGCTCCTTATTTTTAATTTAATCGTAGTTCTAGGCTTTTTTACAATTGTCAGTTCTTGTCTGCTCTATTCTCCAAATCCCCTTTTTAACTTTTTTAAAATTACATTAAATAATATATATATATATATATATATTATTAAATTATAAATTAAAATTTTTTTCAATATATAAAATGGGGTATTTTTATAATTTTATAATTATTTATTCTTTTTAAATAAAAAAAGTGAGATTTTTTATTTTTTATTTTTTTGCTTTTAATGCTAACTACGTTTCAAACCTTACGTGCAATATATATATATATTAAATTAAAATTTAATTTAGAAAGAAATAAATAAAAAGTAAAATATTTATTATTGTTGAATATTTTGATTAAATGAAATAATAAATTCTCTTAGACTTTTGTCAGCATTAAAACAATAAAAAGTAAAGCTGCAATTTTCACTTTTTGGATGTATGCTTTCCTCTCCTTTCATTTTCTTTTTATTTCTTTAATGTATAATTTCCTTTTTGTGAAATAAATGAGAACTATGTTACGTCATTATCATTATTTTCCCAATATTTATTTATTTCTAATTTTTAATTATTTCTTATTTCTTTTTTTTAATACTATTTAGTTTGGTATAATTTGTTTCTATTTCGATGAAGAATGTTGTTTTTTAATGATGTAATTAAGATAATGTTTATAAAATGATATGATAACGATAAGTTTGGATGTTTTCCGTAAGTTTTTATTTATGTTATATTGTTTTGTCGCAAGAAATCTCATTATAAAAAATATTTCGTTTACCTGTTTAATCGATGTAGGTTCTCACAATTCACCACCCTTTGGGACTCCAGCATCCTCGACTCGTTCCCTTCTTCAATCGATGTGGGATCTCCAGTCCACCTCCTTCAGGGTCCAGAGTCCTTACTGATACACCGCCCGTGTCCACCCAGCACATCGCCCCGTGTGTAACTTTGATACTATTAGTAACAGTCCAAGCCCAGTGCTAACAAATATTGTCCTCTTTTGGCTTTCCCTTTCGGGCTTTCTCTCAAAGTTTTTAAATCGTGTCTACCAGGGAGATGTTTCCACAACCTTATAAAGAATGCTTCGTTCTCCTCCCTAACCGATGGTAGATCAAAATATAATTTCCTCTTCGGTCAATATTGGTTTCCAATGATTGCATCTTTTACGGTGTTTTAAGCTTACACGTGAGGACACGAGAACGTTAATATAATTAAATTTACCATAACTCATCAATTGATCTTTTTGGCTTATCAGTGTTCTACTATTTCCTTCCATTTTTTGTCGGTATGCTCAAGAACAAAATGAATGTTAGGAACTTATCAGACACAAAATTAAAAGTTCTGGAAGACATTAGCTATTTTTAACCTAAAATTAACTGTTCTTATAAACATATTTTTGAAGAAATTAAGGTTGTCTCATGAAAAGTGAAAACAATAGTACAATAATTAAAGAAAGAAAAAGTGATAGCATAGAATTTCGATAAAGAGAAGGGTTGTGAAAGCTAAGTCATTTTTACTTGATGTCTATGTTGAAATAAGAACAAATCCCACGAGAGATTGTCTTCTCATATTTGATTTTCTTCGCATCAATACATCATATTCCATTTTCAAACTCTCTTTATTCTCCTTTTTCGTACCAAAATCGTTGACGATTTTCGTTTTTAGATCGAAAGTTCAATCAAAATCTACTCGTAACTAACCTATTTCAATTATTACTAAAAGTCGTTGCACAAAACTGACTCGTTAAGCATATTCAATAGGGATGTTCATATGATATCAAAATCCGACTAACACAAACTGCCTAGCTCAACCCGACAACCCAACTCAACCCAACTCTCTATTTTGAACTCTATTCGAATTGTTCAAGTCACCGACCCAACCGGTCCAAACCTTCGGATTGGTCTAAAAAGAATGATGGGTAGGATGAAATTAATATAAAAAGGATTAGGGTTTATGTTCCCACTTTGAGAGAAGCTTCCCTTTGTTGGTGAAATGGTATTCAAAGCTAGAATTGAGAACCATTCTTTTTGAAAAAGTGACAAAAGTAAATGTGGCATTTTGAGCCTTTTATCTATTCCCAAATATCTAAAGTGCAATCACTAAAGTAATCATTTTGATAAAGACATTCAATCTCTCTTTCTCAACTAGCACTTTGCCAACAACCTTTGGCACCATTTGAGAGCGAGAGAGCTTTATATCTTTCGAACTCATCTCGATCGATGAGAATTTGAAGTCTCCCGACTTTAGTAGACACCCAGTTAAAAAATTTTCTGTACTACAATAGTATGAGCGGTACTATAAATTTTCTCGTACCTAGCTAGGTGTATAATGGTGAATAACAAATCGACGTCTCTTAATTCTAATGGAAACCCTGTTGGAAAATTCATCTATATTGCATAGTGTGGAATGATGCACGATAGTACTAGAAATTTTCACATACATATCCAGATGTACACCGGTTATGAGAAATTGAAATCTCTCGATTTCGACGAAAACCCTGTTGAGCAATCTGTCTATACTCTATAATATAGAAGATTACGACTCTAATTTATTGTCAATCAGGTCAATTTCTTATAAGAATGATGCACAGTAGTCCTATAAAATTTCTCGTACATATCCATATGTACACCGGTGAAGGAGATTGAAATCTCTCGATTTTAACAAAAACCCTGTTGAGAAATCTGTCTATACTCTATAATATAGAAAACTACTACTCTAATTTATTGTCAATCGAGTCAGTTTCTTACAAGAATGATTTACGGTAGTATTAGAAATTTTCTCGTACATATCCATATGTACACCAATGAAGGAGATTGAAATCTCTCGATTTTAACAAAAACCCTGTTGAGAAATCTGTCTATACTGGTATAGGAGATACTACTCTCGTTTATTGTCAATTACGCTCGTTTTCTCACACCTTTCTCCAACCATAATGCATGCATGAAAAAAAGTGTTATATGGCCAAAGATATCATTAAAAATTGTTCTTTAAATGCAAATAGATTTTCATTACAATTACCAATGTTTCTTCTCTCTCTCTCCTCCACCTTTTCTCTCTCTACCTAAGGGAATATAATTTTTTTAATTATCTAATAATAATAATAATAGCTAAGTTAGCTAAGCTTGATGGGCAAAAAAAAAAAAAAAACATGTTTTTTTTTTCTCTCACCGTTTTCTACTTTTGATTGCTTTCTGTCTTTCTTGTCTCCCTTTGTCTTTGTCTTTTTCCTCTCTCTTTTTTTGCTTTTCCTTTTCCTTCCCCTTTGTTTTTCACTTTCTTTGTTTTCCATTTCTAATAAATTATTAATCAATTAAGACCCAAAAAAGAGAAAAATAAAATAAAATAATGATTTTTTTATATATATTTTTACATTTTTTTGAATAATTTCAAATTGATCGTCCTAACGTGAACTCCAAATTTGGCTTTTCGGGACTTGTTCCAGCTGAAAGATTTGTCAATGAGCTTCCATCTGATGTTCTTTCGTGGCTCGAACATTTCGCTTCTAAATAACTCTAATAAAAAATAAACAAAAATAATTAGAAAAAATTAGAAAAAAATAATTTTTATTTTTGAGTTTGTGGACTGTGCAATGGGAATCAAAGGACATTAGATTCAGGGAATAATCAAGTACTATTATCATTGAAAATATGGAAAAAAAAAAAAAAAAAAACTAAAACTAAAGGGTTTGCTTTTGTACATCTATACCAAAAGCTTGCAAAATGATCAAAATTCAAGTACATTTTACCATTCCCCGAAAATCATATCGGTCTTTTTGTGTCGTAGAAGAACGACGCTAAAATCTAGACCTGTTTGATGATGATTTCGTTCGTTTTGGGACAATTTTTTTGTTTGTTTTCTAGAAAATTGTTAATAAACTAAGATGGGTAATGAAAAGTTTCGATTTTTAATGCATAAATCTCCGTTAGGATGAGTTATAACAAATGGGTCGGGTTTAATTTTGCTAAATTATAAGTAAATTTCATTATAAAGAAGAAAAGAGCTTCCAAAAAAGGCAATTTTTTTTATTTTTTTATTTTTGGAATCATAAAAAAAAAAAAAAGTACCTGATCATGCTGAGAGGGTTGGTTTTCAAAGGAATGATTTTTTGTGCCTTGGAGCAAAGCTTCTCTGCCACAAAAAAAAAAATAAAAAAATAAATAATATTAAAAATAAACATTATCTTTAAATAAAATTTTGAAAATATTCAATTGAAAAAGCTTTGAGAATTAATAAAGGGTTGAAAGACGTCTTTTTTGCACTAAAATTCTCGTTGTTTTTTTTACAACAAAAGCGTTTTTCTTTTCGGTAACTTTACGACTACGAAACGAATGTATCGAAAAAACACTGTTCTTAACTTCTCTCGTACTTCCAACAATATAAAATCGTCAATCAAATTCTTCTAACCCTTTCAAATAATTTCTCGAGAAAGTGGAGAGAAGGGTTGTGTTTTACCTCGAAGAATTGCTCCATAGAGAATAGAAGTCCTTATGAGGATGATGATGTTGATGATCTTGTTTGTCTCCAACGGTTTCTCGATATCCATGCTCATCATCAGTAGTTGGAACACTCGACCTAATTCTCGACGACTTCTCGTTTTCATACGTTATGTCTTCATTTGTCGTATCTCTAGATGACCCATTTTGATCGTAAACATCAGAATTCCCTACATTTAAATCATAACCAAATCTCATATCAATTCCAAAACTTTCAACTCATAACTTACAATCTCAGAAGAAATGGTTAAATTTAATAGTTTTTACCAGAAGAAGCTGCTCTATCAGTGGTCTTCACAGTTCTATACATCTGCACAAAGAAGAGATCAAGTTTGAGAAATGATACTCTTTTCGTACTTTTTCGGACCTCTATCGAAATTCTATTTACTTTTCTCTCTCGATCTCAAAAACCCATTTCATATATAATGATTACTAACCACCGAGCTCATTTATTGTCAGTATCACTTAAAAACAACATCAAGTTCATCAAAATCAACTAGAGTATAGTTCAACTGACTAATATCAACAAACTGAAAGATTAGAGGTTCGAATACTCCAACTGGAAAACGAAGGGAATAGATACTCGAGTAGTACTAGAAATTCACGAGCGTATTAAAAAATNATATTCTTTTCTTTTTTTTTCAAGCAAAATTTTTTTTTTTTTTTTTTTTTTTTTTTGAATCTCTCTCTTACTTTGGAGTATGGTTCAATATCCTAAGCGAAAAAAGCTGTTGATTAGGTTGCAGAAAAGAGCAGAAAAAGCCCATAACAGATCTAATGAGACCCCAAAAAAAATAAAGGAAGTAAGTATTGCAGCACAGTCCCTTATCTCTGCAACTTATTTATTAAGCCCTTGAAGTTTGAGATATTATTAATTAACACCCCAAGACTCTGTTATAATTACTTTTAGGGTTTTGTTTTTTCAAGTACAATAATGCAGAACTTGTTGATAATCTTACCAGCTTGTCACCTACCACAGCTTACTGCTAATTATTTCAACGTTGTTTGTTGGAAAAAACACACTCCAAGAACATATGAATCTAAGGAGATTGACTTTCTTTGTTTTTTTTTTTAAAAACCATTTTTTTAGAGAGAGAGAAAGAGATTGATACCTGCAAATGGGACTTGACATGAGCCAAGGTGAGATCTTTGACATCCATAAGCTCAAGAACTGATTTTGGTGTTGCTCCTATTGATCAAATCCCACATCGGAAAAATTAGAAAAGTGTTTCCAATACAGAAGGAGGAAAATAGTTGAGAGATTAAAAGATAAAAAATTGGGTTTTTTTTCAATCTCATCTTCTACAAGCCTAAGCAAGAGATTTTTTTTTTTTTTTTTTAATTTTTAGAGAGAGAGAGGAGTGAAAATTTGCAAATTTTTAGTGAGAGAGTGGAGAATGAAAAAAAATAAAATATGGGTTTGTTTAATCTCATCTCCAACATAGAGAAATTAGAAGAAAAAACTTAGATTGGAATGAAATTTGCAAGCTTTTTAGAGAGAGAAAGAGAGAGAGGAGAGAGAAGAATGGGAAAAAATTGATTTTTAAAATATGGGTTTTTTCAATCTCATCTCCTAAAGCCAAAGCAAGAGAGATTGAAGAAAAATTGAGAGAAATAAAAGAAAATTTAGAGAGAGAGAGAGAGAGAGAGAGAGAGGTTTTGCTCACTTTCATGGCCACCCAAAAGCTTAACAGCATGAACAAAACGAGCATGTAGAGTGGTGGTCCACCGCATTCTCGGCGCTCGGACATTCCGTTTAGTCGGAAACCTCCCCAAGAACCTTGATCGATGGGCGGCGTTATAATTAAACTGACCGCCACCGCCACCGTTACCACCGCCACCAAATATCGGGTACGAAAAGGACGAGGAAGAGGAAGAAGAAGGAGAGTTTTGATAAACCGGAATTCCCCTAATGGGTCTCAAGAATCCAAGCCCTTGATGGTGAAGATCATGGAGATGGCGGTGGAAGAGGCCACCAGTTCCAGCGCCGCCACCATTCACAGCGGTAGCGGTGGGGAAATGGCGGTGGAGGAAATCGGAAGAGGAATTAGGGTTAGAAAGAAGAGGAGAAGGGTCAAAATTAGAAGAAGAAGAAGAAGAAGGGTTAGTAGAAGGCAATTTATTGTTCCAAGAGACCAAATCTAAAGGGTTTTGAGAAGGCATAGAAGAAATGGGATGTTGCCTTCTCCAGCCGCCATTGGAAGAGGGCTTTGAATTTGTTGAGGAATTTGGAGGGCTTATTTGAAGAGACAAATCTGGTTGAGCTGGAAAAAGCTCCATTTTTTCTTCTTCTTCTTCTTCCTCCTCTCCTTCTTCTTAAACCTAAGATTTTGGATGAGAGAGAGAGAGATGATGAGAGAGAATGAGATTTCTGGCTTTGTTTGGAGATGGGGTTTGATCAAATTTAAGAGAGTAGTTGCTCAAATTTTAGAGAGAGAGAGGGAGAGATAGAGAGAAAGGGTGAGAGAGATAGAGAGAGAGAGAGGGAGAGAGAGAGGGAGAGATAGAGAGAAAGGGTGAGAGAGATAGAGATAGAGATAGAGAGAGAGGGAGAGAGAGAGGGAGAGAGAAGAGGAGAGAGAGAGAGAGAAGGTAATATGAAGTGAATGGTTGTTTCTTTTGTGTGAAGTATATGTAAGAAAATGACACTTGAGAGGACTGTAGAGAGAGAAAGGGAGAGAGAAAGTGTTTTTTTAAAAAAATTAAAATTTTTTTATTTAATTTTGCTTTTTGTGGATGAGGGCAGAAATGAGAAAAAGAGAAAAAAATAATAATAATTCAAAAAAAAAAAAAAAAGCAAATAAGTTTAGGGACTTGATTCCTTTTTACTTCACCTTTTACTTTTTAAAAAAAAATTAAAAAAAATAAATTTTATCCTTTTTTATTTTACTTTTTAAGAAGAAAAAGGAAAATAATTATACATTTATTTTTTCTTTTTCTTTTAGATTTCAACTTTAATGTGTGGATTTGTCCCTTAACAACTCATTCTTTTACATTTCAAAATTCTCTCTTTTTATTTATTTATTTATTTATCTCTCAATTCAAAAGGAATTCAAGTCTTCAACTTTTCTTAGGGTTAAGACTTTGTTTCTCAATTTTCGTTCCATTTTTTTCAATACCCAAATTATTAAAACTTTCACTTTTTTATTTTTTAAACCTAAAAATTTATATTTCTTGGAATTATTTTGAAATATAATCTTTTTTATGTTGAAATTACCAAAATGCCCCTGACTTTTATTTTAACGTTGAAAATTTTAAATAATATACCACAATTATTCTTAATTTAAGCACACTAAAGATTGTTAGATGGTCATAATTTTGTGTGTAGTTTTTTTCAAAACCCCAATAATTAAAAGTTTCACTTTTTTACCTAAAAATTTCTAATTCTTGTAGTTTAATTTAAAAACTAACCCATTTTTCATGTTGTAATTACCAAAATGCCCATGAATTTTATTTTAATATCGAAAAGAGTTCACTTTTATTTCGACCGATCACAATTCGAACTTTCTAACCTATAGAAAGGATCGTTTATAATCTAACTCGTGATTGTTTGCAATTAAGGGTTTTATTATTATTATTTTTATAAATTGGGTTATCTAAAATTATGATATTTCTAAAGGGCCCCAAACCCTACAAAAAAGAAATGATTGTTTAAAAATAGAAAGTTTTGAAAAATCCCAATAAAAATTTCCCCAATTTGGTTTAGGGTTAGATCTTAAAAAAAATGTAAGATTATGGGAAGTAAAGAAGGTGAATTGATACATCAAAATCAGCAAAATTCCCAAATTCTTAAAATTTCAAAACCCTAATTTGATGAAATTGGGAAAAAGGAAGGCCTAGGGTTAGGGTTAGGGTTAGGGTTAGGGTTAGGGTTCTTGCTTATTTCCAAAACAAGTAAAAGTTGGTTTCCCTCTTTGTTTATACATTCAACTCATCATTGATCTTCTTAGGCTTCAAAAATGGTAGATTTTGTTGTTTGTTTTGGAAATATAGGCTCCTTTTATTACACTCACATTACTTTTTAATTAACTTTCATTAAGGACTTCATTTAATCAATTTGGGAAGTTTTCCTTTTATCATCCCTATTTCAACTATAATTTAGAAACTAAATCTTGTTTTGACTTCATTAATTTGTTGCTAATTAATTGATAGTTTTTTTCCGTTGATATTGACCCGAGAAAGAAATTGTAGGTACAGTTAGTCCGTGAATGACCCACCACCCTGTAAAAGCTTTTACTGATAGACATTTGTTCCTACTTGAAAAAAAAAATCAAAAGGGTCCGTTATTAGTGGAATTCCCGAGAGAAACCCTCTATCATGGAGTATAAACTTTCGAGGGTTCTCATTTGGTTAAGGTTATATTTACATAATGGTTAATTATGGTCATAAAGTATGAAGGTTACAACTCTTGAAATGCCTCGTGGAAGGTCAAGGGTTCTCATTTTGAGGCTATATAAAACCATGACTAAGTTTCTCTGCAATTGTATGTAGTTTATGTTGCATGTTTTAAATTCATACAAGTTTGATATAATCAATCTTGCTTGTGAAGTGATTTGAATCCCAAACAACTGTTCTTGCAATCATTTGGAATGAAATCAAATTAGTCGGGACTTTTTGCATTAGTATACTAAAATGGTTCACGTACCCAGGTGCTTACGAGGGTTCTTAGGTGTTCGAGTGTCAAAAAAGTAATTAAAAAAAAGTTAATTTATGAAGTGGTTAAATAATTATTGCAAAGTAAGCAAAAAAATTTAGTGAAATGATTGGTGAGGTCTTTTGTTGAACCAATAAAATATTTTGATGGTGAAAAGTTGGGGACTTTTTACCATTGATTTAGCTTTCATTAGGGCTTCCTATAAAAATAAAATAAAATAAAATAAAATAAAATTATTTCACATAAAGAGAAGCATAAACTTTTTGCATTTTGGTCCTTCATTCTTTTCTTAATTTTCCTTTTTCCCCATAATTTGAGGACCCACCCCCTCCCATTCAATATATTAATAAATAAATAAATAAATAATCTTTTAATTAAAAATAAAAAAAAAATAATTAGGTAGGTTTCCTTTTTGTGGGCATTAAATTGTTGGACTATATTAATTACTCCAAATTAAATCTATATTTTCATGTAATTTAAGTAATGGCTAATACCATATATTAATTCATTTAAATTTATTAATATGGTTGCTTTAGTTCTTAAATGTCGGGTCTATACGAGTTAGGTTCAGAATCTTATCGACCAACCTGAAATTTCGAGTTGATTGATTCGGTGGCCCGAGCAATCCAAATAAAACTCCCAACCTAACCCTCTATTTTCGGGCTGGGTTGAGTTGGTAATCTAGGGTTTGTTGAATCCTACGTTGGATACAGTGAAGCTAGAGGTCAACCTAAACTTTGACCCTTCCTCTTTATTTAAATTTATTATTATTGTTATCAAACATTCGAACTCGACCATTGTTCACATCAAATGTTCAAGAGAGGAACTCTATTTAAATGGGCATTCCAGACCATTCCCACAAATTAATACAGGTCCTTATCCTCGTTCACATGCCACACGGGTACTTCTGAACTTCAAAATGTCATCAATTCATTCATGTACTTCTTCTTTACACGGGTGTCACGTGCCCACCAGCTTCGTCCTTGTTCGTCCTCGAACCATATCTTATTGGGAGATGTATCTTTTTAGGGTAGGGCATAAAATAAGATAATTAAAAAAAATAATAATAATTTGAATTCATGGTTGATTTTTGTCCATATTCTGACAAATAATAATAATAATACGGAAATGGAATATGATTAAATTAAAATTATAATTAATAAAGACAAATCCTTCCATTTGTTTATTATTATTATTATTTACTAATTTTACCAAATGTCAACCATTCCTCGAAATTCTTCATTACCATTTCTAAATTTGTTTATATACGGAACTAAGATTCAAACCATTTAATTAATACCAAAATTTTATTTATTTATTTATTTATTATTTATATATTCTTGAATTTTGTTAATATTGGGATCATTTAAATTTATTTTCTATAACAAAAATATATATGAAAACCTTAATATATTAGCATAAATTTTTCAGGTTATTAAAAAAAAATATTTTTTAAAAAATTACCTTACAAATAATTAAAAAATTATTTTTAAAAGTTCTTCATGAATATTAATTAAAAAAGTTATGGAATCAAAGAAAAATAAAATAAATACATATATATATATATATATATATATATATATATAATTGTATCATTACAAATAAATTTAGATCGGCTGGATTCAATCAATTTAATCTTAGGGAAATTCATGAATGAATTAAATTTATAAAATTTTTATTTATTTGAATTATTATTTACTTTTACTCTGGATCTTCTTAAAACAAACTAATCTTATCAGCTTGAGCAACGTGTATTTCTGACCAAATAATAATAATAATAATAATAATAATAATAATAATAATAATAATAATGATAATATAAACTAATTAAAGTGGAAAAATAAGACAAAAAATTTTAAAATATATATATATAGTAGTTTAGAAGAAGTGGGTGTGAAGAGGAAATTTAAAACATTAAATAAAACATTGATTTGGTTTGGTGTAATGTAATATTTGGGAAGAAGTGAAAAAGGGGAGAAGTCAAAGGGAGAATCTCACATTAATACCTAATTTCCATCATTTCTCCAAATTAATGTTTATTTAATTTGTTTCCCAATTTTGCATTCATACCTTGTTTTATGGGATTTGGTCACACATTTCATTCCAATACATACCTAACCTCCCTACGCTCATAATTTATCAACCATATTTTTTAATCTATTCTTTACGTATCCTTTTAAGAGCTACTTTTGTTTTTCAAAATTATCTCAATAATTCGTTTAGAGATAAATTGGTCCTACTTCTAAAATTTCATGAGTATCTTTGAATATGATACTACGATAAGGGTATTTTTGAACTTTTAAAAAATATTTAAAAAGCAAGTTTGGAGTATTTTTTAAACAAAATGTTAATGATTTCAATCCAAAACTAACCCTAATATTTTTTTAAAAAATTATTAAATTATTATAAAAATCTTTAATATTCAGATAAATATGGTTTGTTAAATTAAATTAAAATTTTCAACCACAAAAAAAAATATAATAATAATAATTAATTAATTAATTTTGGAAGATAAATCCGTTTATATTGGTGAGAATAATTAATGGTCACGTGATGCAATTAATTTTATGCAACAAAAGAATGCGATGGATTGGAGTCTTCACTTTTTTAAATACCGAATTAACTAACCCTTTTCTTTTCGTAATGCAACTGGTTCTTATTATTTTATTTATTTATTATTATTTAATAATTATTTAGTAATTTTTGGGATTGAGTCATGCATAAGCATAAGAGTCAATACAAATTTGTCTTCTCTTTGGTACGAAATCAAACATCCACACTATCCCATAATCTAACGTTGGATCCAAATAACTATTGTTATATCATTGTTTCAAATCTAGTAT